ATTTCAGGCAACTCAACAAACAAATTATTCCCGACAAATTTCCGCTTCCCCGAATTGATGAAATTTTAGACCACTTAGGTCGAGCGAAGTACTTTACAACACTCGACCTCATGTCAGGATTTCATCAAATTCCTTTAGATGAAGTTTCAAAACAATACACAGCCTTCTCCACGGAACAGGGTCATTTTCAGTTTAATAGACTCCCGTTCGGATTAAATATTAGCCCGAACTCATTTCAACGAATGATGTCGATCGCGTTAAGTGGCTTACCGCCGACATTATCGTTGTACACACTTAATTTTTTCTACCGAGCTCGGCTGTGCAAATCTCGGCAAAATAAGTTTCACTGAGATCTCAGCAAAAGTGACATTTGATTGCTGAGTCTCGGATAATGCTTAGCTGAATCTCAGCAAATAAATGAAATGTTTGCTGATATCTCAGTAAAACTTTTTTTGCCGAGATTTGCACAGCCGATCTCGGTAGAAAAATCTAAGTGTGTAGGATGTTCTGTTAAGCACCACATCGAAAATTTACGTAAAGTGTTTTTACAATTACGAAAGTTTAACTTAAAATTGAATCCATCTAAATGCAATTTCTTCAAGAATGAGGTAACCTACCTAGGACATCATATCTCGAAGGATGGTATACAGCCCGATAAAAATAAATATTCGGCAATTGTGAACTATCCAGTTCCAAAGAATGCAGATGAAGTACGACGATTCGTTGCTTTTTGCAATTATTATCGTCGATTCATCAGAAATTTTGCCGATATAACTTACCCACTGAACAAATTACTACGCAAAGAGACAGTTTTCAACTGGGATGAAAAATGTCAATCATCTTTCGAAACTTTGAAAATGAAATTGCTATCCCCCCAGATTTTGCAGTTTCCTGATTATCAAAAAGAATTCATTATTATAACAGATGCGTCAAAAGTAGCCTGTGGAGCAGTACTAGCTCAGCTTTACGATGGTATCGAGTTACCAGTCGCATTTGCTAGCAAAGCATTTACGAAAGGTGAATCGAACAAGTCAACGATAGAACAAGAGCTGACTGCGATCCACTGGGCGGTAAACTATTTCAGGCCATACATTTACGGTCGGAAATTTACCATACGTACCGACCACCGCCCATTGATATATTTATTTTCACTTAAGAAACCAACTTCTAAACTAACCCGTATGCGATAGGATTTAGAAGAATATAATTTTGAAGTGGAATATATCAAAGGTAAATCCAACGTGCTATCAGATGCATTGTCTAGGATACAAATTACCACTGAAACACTGAAACAAATGTATATAGTAACAAGATCGATGACGAGGAAAAATTTAACCAAAATACCTGACCTTCCATCGCAGGAGTCTGATCAACTCCATGTGTACGAAGCTGTCAGTAATTTGGAGGCATTTGACTTGCCAAAATTAACGTTTTCATATAATAGAGATAAAACATTTATAAATTTGATAATATATAATAAAAAATTTCGGAAGAGACTAACCCCAACGCTAGCACTCGCATTAGAAAATCCTGAAAATTTTAAATTAGAATTAGGAAAAGCGCTTGAAATAATCGATGGCAGGCCTGCCGATAATACAAATATGGAAGGAACATTTCCAAAGAAGCTAGCAATACAAACAAACGACACTTTATTCAAACATATTGATTTAAATTCATTTAAAAATTTCGGTAACGCTGTTCTTAGGAACGCTACCATAATAATTTACGAAAAACCCGTTAAAATCAAAGCAAAGGAAGAAATGACTAATATATTAAAACAATACCATGACTCTGCAGTTGGAGGTCATATTGGTATAAATAGGCTATATAAGAAACTCAAATCCCTTTACAGCTGGCCTAATATGAAACAAATAGTTTCAGATTATGTCAGATCATGCGAACTTTGCAAAATAAATAAACACGCGATACCGGTGAAAACACCAGTTATCGTTACTACCACACCCAACAAAACCTTCGATGTAGTGTCCATTGACACCATCGGACCGTTCACACTCACTGAAAAAGGAAACCGCTATGCAGTAACACTGCAATGTGATCTTTCCAAATACGTGATTGCAATTCCAGTACCAGATAAAACAGCTGTTTCAATTGCCAAAGCAGTTGTAGAAAAATGCATTCTGATATATGGTCCCATGAAATGCATCAAAACTGACCAAGGAACAGAATACAAAGGAGTATTCGACGAAATATGCAATTTACTACAATTAAATCATACCTGTTCGACGGCATACCACCCCCAAACAATCGGTGCGTTAGAGCGCAATCACAAATGCTTAAACGAGTATTTGAGAATGTTCGCTAACGAACGCACAGACGATTGGGACGAGTGGTTACCATTTTATTGTTTTGCTTACAATACAACCCCAAGCACAGACCATAACTTCACTCCCTTTGAAATTATCTTTGGAAAAAAAATTAACGCTTTTGATTTTTGTGAAAACCAGCAAGTAGACCCATTATATAATCTAGATTCTTACCAAAAAGAACTAAAATTCAGATTACAAATCACTCACGCTAATGTCATGCAAACAATATTAAACAGAAAGGACAAAAGAACAAATAGTATGAACAGAACAATTACACCAACAGAATTACAAATAGGTGATACAGTATATTTACAAATTGAAAATAGGCATAAATTACAAACGATTTATAGTGGTCCCTATCAGATTGAACAACTAAAAGAATCAAATGCTATAATTATAAATCAAAATGGAAAAAGAGCAGAAGTACATAAAACAAGGTTAGTAAAAAAAAAGTGAAAAAAAAAGTAACAATTATCAAAATACATACATACAATGATCATCCCCCGCTATTAGGAAGGGGTGAAAGTAGTGAAATCAATAGACATTTTACATACCAACAAATTAACAAAAAAAAAAGCAGATAAATACATTCAGTGAAAGCAAACAAAATTGTGAGAGGCATTTGAAGCTAAACCGAATCTTTACCGTTAACATTTTGGCCCGTAGGGGAATGGTGTGACATGTGCATCCCACATGTCATTTCCCATGCTTTTCCATTATGCACTTCCAGCAGACCACACTAGTGGGAACATGCTGAGAAGGATAATTCTACCCGGCATTGAACCTTCAGTTCAATGCCTGTAAAATATCTGTCAGCGTTTATGGCGACAAACAGAAGTGTCGCATTACTAATTTATTGAACCATGCTGTTATCGAGTGTACAGCGATGGATTTCTATCTTTCCTTTTCCCGCATGGACAACGATCGCTGATTGGTGATCGTGTACATAGCATTTTTCATATCGGTGCTTCAAGTCTCTCCAGCTAGGAGTTTGTAATAAATTCGAGAAGACAATAAATGCATTCCCGCTTTAACCAGCAAAGAAAACGTATTGCTTCGTACGACCGTGAAATATCACAGTCAAGAAGTTAAAGTCCAGTACGGACTTTACAGTGCGTACAGAACCATTTCGACGAAGGTAGTATGCATTATCGCCGGTATGATCCCAATCGGCATCACCTTGGCGGAGGACTACGAGTGCTATATGAGGAGAGAAGCCAGAGGAGTACGAAAAATGGTGAGAACGGTGTCGATGGCTAAGTGGCAGCAGGAGTGGGATGCAGCGGGGAACGGTAGATGGACTCACAGGCTAATACCGATTCTTCCGACCTGTGTGAACAGGAAGCATGGAGAAGTCAACTCCCACTTGACGCAGTTCCTGTCTGGTCATGGCTGCTTCAGGAAGTACCTGCACTGGTTCGGACACACAACGTCACCCTTCTGTCCGGAGTGTGGGAATGTGGAAGAATCACCAGAGCCAGTGGTCTTCGAATGTTCTAAATTTGATGCTGTGCGAGAAGAGATGCTCGCCCTTAGCGCGGAGAATGTCATCGAAGAAATGTGTCGATCGGAGGGCACCTTTAACGCCGTCAGCAGAGCAGTAAGGCAGATCATGTCAGCGCTGCCGCGAAAATGGCGAGAAGACCAGCTTGAAAGTAGTAATGTGCTCACACAAGTGCGAAGTGAAAGACGAAGCCGGGAGAACTCTCCGTCAGAGTAGGCTGAATCCACCGCCGGGGGTTAGCTGACAAGTGGTTCCGGGGGAAAATGGCAAGGCGTCCAAGGAAGTTTTAGTGTAAGAATCCCACACACCGTGTCACCGCGACCGTCAAGCGGCGGCATGAAGGCCTTTTTGAAGGTTTCCTACTTGCCAAAAAACACGCACACACACACACAAACTGCACACCCTTTGCAATCACTTGATTCAGAAATGACAGAAAACGGCCCGATCTCCAACCAAAAGCATTTCAACGATGAATTTTCAGCTCTCGAACTCACTTCAATGCATATATTCTGTGTACATAGGATAAAGGCGAAGACAACAAATCAAGAATATGGCAACTCTTCCATTTTCTCATACGAACGCTATGAGACAGGTACAATCGCGTCATCTGCCGCTCAAAGGTAAATGCTTCGAACGAATTTGATAGCAAAGATTACATCCTCAGAAGTTACAAGCTGCCAGTCTTCTTGATTTGTTGTCTTCGATAAAGGTCAAAATTCCAAAAACCTACCGCAAAAGGCTTCTCAGCCTGCACAATAAACCTAGGTATTGAAGTTCTGTGAATCCAATCAATCAACCAATCCCGTGGGTGCAAGCGATTGAGGAAGGGGTAACAAATATTTTTAAATTGTTGGGTTCCAGGAAACGCGCGGATTGCAGGGAACGATATAGTATAGTATGTCACGCTCAAAGAGGGGGGCGGTATGACAAGCAACGCATTAAGTATAGGAAAAACGTGACGAACGGGGGGAGGAGAAGGATAATTTTTCCTTAATAATTTAATCATTAAAGTATGACCCCGAACAAGAGCAAAGACATAACTCAGACAACTTGTATCAATCTTACGCACAACAATCTGCACCAAGCTGGGGTAAAGGTACCAACAATCAAAAACACCTAGTAGATTGAAGATAGCTCAACCCCAAGTTGAACAATATTCAAACACTCACCTATTATTGTACACATTCCTACTGCTACTGCTCGTACTGGTGCTGGCCGTGTTGTTATTGTTCGTAATCTTTGCCGCCTCGTCGGCACGCTTCAGTATGAGATTGTGGTCCCGCTCCACGCCGGACTCGGCCAGCGTCGTGCTGTTGGTTACATTGTTCGGCCAGCCGAACCATACCTGATGCCGCACCGGAATGTCCGTGATCGTGTAGACGTCGGTTTTGATCGACAGAATGTTCTGATGACCGGGGAATTTCAATTCCAACAAGTTTCCCTCCGGTTCGACGTTGATGTGTAGCGTGTAGTTTAGGCGGTTTTGTGACACTGGATCACTGCCGGGAAGAGGGAATCGTCATTTTAGCAGATACCTAATATGCTTTGCAATATGCCGAACTTACGTATCACCCAAAAAACCCTCTCCAGTCATGTCGGCCAGCATGAGGCTTACCTCTTTGCCTATGTTGAGCGACTTGAGCACCGTCGAGGAATTCTGTAAGTCTTTCTGCAATTGAAAAATTAAGATATTTGCATAGTGTGTTTTCATTCTGCAATAAAATAAGGCGCCCTACCTGTTTACCCGATTCCCATCCCTTCAGCGCTTGCCGACACACCGGGACAGCTGTCTTTTCGCAGATCTTGGCTTTCAGCTCACCCACCGTTGCCGTGTTCGGGACGGTGATCTTGTGCACCTCGCTGTTGAAGTGAATCTTAAAAACTACGTCATGTGGCGTTACGTCCAGAAAGTTAAGCGCACTGCGAAAGTCGTTGCTGCTGCTGGACCGGGATGTGGATGCTCCTGAAACATGGGGAAGCAGCGTTAGGAAACTACCCCCATAAACACACTTCCGCGAAAACAAGCAAACATGACAAGATGATTTCATGAGACAATGAATGATTTTTCAACGAAAACACAAAAACAGGTACAATGAGTGCTTCAGAAAAACAACTTCGTCTGTACCTGGTTCAATCAGTCCGAAAGGATCGTCGAAGAAAAAATCTGCATTATTAAAATAAGCAACGACTCCGTATTAGTTAGATGCAAATCGGAATTATTAAAAAAGGACAAGCATCTCCACCAACTTACCGATATCCAAATTTCGACTGTGACTGGAAGCACCGCTGCTACCTGCGGTTCCTCCGGGTGTGCTCTTGATTGGCGATGACGGGGCCGTCATCAGTTCCTCGACATTTGCCATGGCTTCCAGATTGTTCAGATTATTTGAATAACTAGCAAAAGCTCCACCACCGCCTCCGATGCCACCACCACCACCACCAGCACTGCCACCTGCAGCTGATCGCTGGTCTTGGGGATCCTGTGGCAGTACCCGATGGACCGCAGACTGTAACGAATCGTGAGATTTGGGATTGTGAGTATTTGTGTGCAGGAATTATGCCAAAGTCAGCTAAATTACATACCAATAGATCCCAGTTGCACTCATCTAGGTGGTATATAGCCTCAGCAACATCCTCGATTGCGGTTATACTCTGGAAGGGAATGGGAATTTTGCATTTTATGTGTTGGTAGGAGTACAGAAATGGGCCGCAGTTTTCACGGAATTACGGATTGTAAGTTAACTCTTTCCCACCCATGGAGCACCATGCCTTTTTGGAAATTGTGTTCTATTAATTTATGAAATAACAACCTATTTAGACTGGTTTTTAAAATGTATTATACCAAAACAATCTGGGTGGGAAAGGGTTAAGCAATGCCCTTCAATCAGTTACATATACGGACGTAGGAAAATCGAACAAGGTTTGTTTTAAACAAGCATTTAAACAAAACAAAAGTGGAAACCAATGCTTCATTGGCTTTATATATGGGTAAAGGACGGTTTCTTCGGGAATCTCATTCTGTTTAATTGAAACATTCAAACATCATGATGCCAGATTTTTAATCGAACGTTTATGTAAACTCAAAGTTTTTGGAAATAAATCAATCATTCTGACTCCAAATTTCTCGCGCAACACGAGAAAATGGCCTATCACTGTTGATCGATTCTCTTCATTGACTTTCTCTTTGGTTTACCACGGCTATACATAAACGAATTCGACAGTGAGCATGCATAAGGGCGTATACGCGATGATCGATTCTCTTCATTGATTTTCTCTATGCATTGCTACAGCTGAGCGAAACAATTTTCTAGAATTTGTTCAATGCAGAGTTGTAACAAGTTGTATTGGCTATCAAAAGCAACAGCAAACGCACCGAGAAACGTCAAATCTAGCGAAGAGAACCGATCATAGCACTTAACCCCTTTTGCATGCTCACTGTCGAATTTCTTGCTAAGCTCGCAGCACAGTTCGACAGATCATGTTAGCTTGCGCCTGAAACAACACACTGAATTGGAAATTCATTTGCAGTCGGCTTATTCGCGAAAAAGAAAATCGATGAAGAGAATCGATCAACAATGATAGGCCCTTTTCTCGTGTTGCCCGAGATTTCGTTTTGATTTCTCACTACCAGTCCGGGTAACACCGTAAACTAGCAAGGATACCAACTTTCAACAGTAAATCCTCTGAAGTGTAATACCCCGGACAGACTATGGCTTATATAATGTAATATAGGCTGTCTTGCAATGATGAGCACTCATACATCTAGTTTTCACTGGAAATCCTATATATGAGTGCTCATTGCAAGACAGCCTATATTACATTATATAAGCCATAGTCTGTACGGGGTATAACATAGCAGTCTAATCCGAAGATTTTAAAGTGAGCTTCAATTTTAACAGTAAGGAAGACTTAACCATTTAACCATTATAACTTAACAGCTATAAGACGTTTGTTGAGAACCCCAAAGGGTAACTGGAATATACCAAAGACAACAAATCAAGAAGACTGGCAACTCTTCCATTTTCTCATATGAACGCTATGAGACAGGTACAATCGCAATATCTGCCGCTCTAAGGTAAATGCTTCGATCGAATTTGATAGCAAATATTACATCCTCAGAAGAAGGGTTTGAGTATTTGCTCATTTTTCTATGCGTTGCTTCCACCTTCACTCAAGCGCAGCGCCATTGTATCTGTCGCTTGGATTATGGCAAAGTTGCCAGTCTTCTTGATTTGTTGTCTTCTAATATACCCAATAATGACTACATAGTAAGTCTTTTCGAGGGAAACTGAGATAACCCATGAAATGAGTAAATTTTTACCCATTTTGGAGCAATAATTACTACTACAAAAAACAAAGTAGTAAGTATTCATTTATGAGCAAAAAATACTCATAAATGGGTAACTTTGTTACTCGTTTAATAGGTATCTGTTTTTTTTATATTTTATTATCTAGTTCGTTTATTTGGAAGGCTCAATCGCGTTAGCTTCACGGAGCCGATAATGCATTATTCAACTAAATTCACTTACTTCTATGTCTAGTAGGACAGGGTGTTGACTCAATGAAGAAAACAAAATTCCCTGATATGCCCTGATTTTCCAACAATTTTCAAAAGAAATCCAGGTGCAGTGCCTACCCGTTTTTGGCAACACAATCCCATCAGCTATTATTTTCCTCAGATTTATATTGTATACATTAGTACCTCTAACTAACCCAGTACAATTTCAAATTGAATCAAGTGTTCGAAAAATTTTATGGAATGCAAAAAATAGAAATTGCGAATTGCCAAAAACGGGAAGGAACCGCATTTCTTTAAATACATAAATTTTAAACGTTGTGAACGCCATGTATGCAGTTCAAGCTGTAACCGGGATATTACACAGCAAAAAAAAAATGCAATATCGATCAATGTAATTCAAGCTGATGTATGAAATATTGATGTAATAGCAAAAACACAGATACAATATTACATCAATGGATGTAATTTTGTTCGCAAAATCGATGTACATCGTACAACGTTATGTTACACAGCCAGTTTGGATGTAATATTCAACAACTTTTTTTTCTGTGTGGTAACTCTAAGACCAGCAGGTCCCGAAGAAACGTGCCGAACTTTTTGGCTCAGCTCTAGTACTATCTTCGGTCCCAAGCTAATCGATGCACCCCTCGAAACATAGGAAAATCCACGAGCCCCTCATTTTATCTGTCAAACTTTCACAGCGAATCAAAACTAACATAGTGTAGTACTAGAATGAGGTACAAAGCACAGAGAACAGACATCCAAGTCAAATTCCTAAAGTGTGTAAGAAATTTAACTACTATTTTGAATAGACATTTGAAACTAGCAATATCGTGGTGGCGCTAGTGTCGCTGCCCATCGACGTCGATGACCGACAGACGTCATCTTAACATAAATGTCAAAATTGATGTGAGCAAAACATTGCTTGTTTAAAACCGATCAAACCACGGGTCTCAAGTGCGAGTTTCATTGGTGCGTAAATAAACAAGGTGCGAAACATCTTTTCACAATTTTCCTAAGGATGCTAAATTTCTCGAACTACTGGAGATTTTCTTCTCACGTGGAGTCCAAGGACTTGCAACGAAAAATTTATGTTCCGACCACTTCCCCGAAGGCTTTTCGAATTCCTGGATGAACAGATATGCAGTGTTCAAATCTTACCACATTTTTCTGAATTTAAATGAGGGCTAATTAGAGTTCACACCATCACTGAATCATTTGAAGATACGCCGCCAGTGAACTAAGAAAAAGTCAGTTTTGCTCCTGACTACTATGCCCATTTAAAATTGGAACGAAAAACGGTTGTAGATCTACAGGAAAATGTAAAAGCTTAGTTCTTTATTCGAAAATAATGGTTCCGCAGAAACTCGATTGATTTCCGTTGTTTTGTCTTGTTTGTTTTGAACAGATTTGACAGTTCATTTTGATACACGGTCAATGAGAGCAACCCAAATTGTAGTTCAGTTAACTCATTAAGCTCAGCTTAGCTTAGCTTAGTCTGACTGCACGTATCGTTATAGTTGCACTCCGTGATTGATCTGAACCAGTGAAATTGTACAAAGAATCAACTGAATGGGGCTTGGGAGTAACCTGCCATTCTCAGTGTACATGTTCCAGTGACTCCTACCTTTAAAGATCAATAACGTCACCGGCCACGTCCTTGCAATCAGGTGGGAGAGGGAAGGAATGTTAGTGTGTGACTTTTGTTGTTTTGGGACCGTGTTTACCTCTGCATCCCACAAAAGTCACAGGAAGGAGGTTTTGTTAGTGGGTTAGGTTCGTTGGATCAGGATTCACCTTGATAAGTGATGCGATCTTTTGTTTTGTGTAGTTATTTATAAGTGTTTTCGATTTATGCGCTAAACAGCCGGCTGTCTAGAGATGTAGATCATTATTAGATGTGTGTATACCGATTTAAACCAACAATAAGGATACTGTTGGGGCCACTCACAAAGTGTGATGATGGTTTATTTTATTTTATCAATGACCAAAATAATTAATTATAAGCGGTTTGAACCGATTTAAACCAACAGCAAGGATGCTGTTGGGGCCACTCACAAAGTGTGATGGTGGTTTACTTGATTGAATATAAAATAATTATTAGAACCGATTTGACCCGATTTAGACCAACAGCAAGGATACTGTTGGGGCCACTCACAAAGTGTGATGGTGGTTTATTTAGTTCGGAAGAAAATGAATATGTATACTTCTTTTTTTTATATAATAGAACGAATTTGTACTGATTCAAACCAAAAGCAAGGGTTCTATTGGGGCAACTCACGAAGTGCGATGGTGGTTTATACTATAAGGGCATAAAACAAAATCAAGAGCCATTTCGGTTTCCATAATCCGACGGAAACGTCTTGATCATCGCGCGATTTACCGTATTGATTCAAATTCCGAACAGTGCGTTAAAATCATCCTTTGAAAACACCTTTTTTACCTAAAATATTGCTGATCCGCTCAGAATGTATTTAAACTCACGACTTATCGTAATATGGACATCCTAAAAGAAAATGTAGTTCAGTTAACTCATTAATCGCAAAAAGTGATAACTCGAGTCGCAACATTCCGTAGTTGCTAGTGTTTCTAACGTATTTTAATTTGAATTCTTACACAAAAATTTGTTTATGTTCTCTGTGCTTAAAGTTTTCAGCAAGTTCATCATCCGCTACCTCGATTTACTCATTGATACGAGAAGAGGTCCTTTGTATGGTAATTTTCTCACCCTTAGAAAACAGACAAACAGACATAACTCATTGAATATTTCTCACGGTAAAACCATAGAGGTAACTCTAAGACCAATAGGTCCCGAAGATACGTGCTCAACTTTTTGCCTCAGCTCTGGTACTATCTTCGGTCCCAAGCTAATCGATGCACCCCTCAAAACATAAAAAATCCATGAACCCCTCATTTTATCTGTCAAACTTTCATAGCAAATCAAAACAAACATATTGTTGTACTAGAATTTCGACTAAAATGGGATACGTTAATCGTTTGCTTGGGACCAATAGGCTAGTCAAGCAGTGAGCCAATTTAAAATCGTTAGTTTCGAATTGATTGTTGGTAAAACATCGTCGCTAAAACATTACCGCCATCTGTTGAGTACACTGTGGTGGGCACTACACTGAAC